CAGCGGTAGTGTAATATAAGCAGCAGTGTGAATATAAACAGTAGTGCGAATGTAAACAGTAGTGCGAATGTAAACAGTAGTGTGGATATAAACATGTTTAGTTTCATGTATCTAAAGAGATGAGTTAAAAGAAAATAAAGAAAGCTAACAATCTTTATACTTTTATCCATGACAACTTTAGAAACAGTGATGTGTTGTGTTGTATCCAAACAATGGCAAGGACAGAAAAATCTGCATGCTTTTATTGTTTCATCGTAAACTTTTCAGTAACCCAAGGAAGGAAACGGATCTGCATGTTCCCACTGGGCTTGTAGTCTGTCCACTGCAGAAAGATTAAGATGTTAGCATTTTTATTGTGAGCATTATTCTATTTTAGGAATATTTAGCACATTAGACACTTTATTTCATTGATTTTATTCCACTCAGTGATGAAAATGCAAACTTCAATACTGATGTCAGAAAAGTCCATAATGAAACTTTAAGACTTTTAGAGATATCAGCGTAAAAAAAATGATGTAAAATATTAGTTTTCTCATAAGTTCATTTGTTAAAAAAAAGAAGAAGAAAAAAAATCTAAAGTCTTTATAAAGTTATACATGAAATTAAAGTTTTGTTTGACAGGATTGACAAACTATGAGTTGCTTCTTTCGATGCATATATGAATGCCTGGCCCATCGTTCTAAATAATAAACAGTGTGTGCTGATAATTCTGGTAATGTTGACTGAATAATAAATAAATAAATTCTAAATAATAAATGGTGTGGGCTGATAATTCTGATATTTTTGACTAAATAATAAATAAATAAATATTAAAAAATAATTTCTAAATAATAAACAGCGTGTGCTGATAATTCTGGTAATATCGACTGAATAATAAATAAATAAATATATAATTATAATAATTTCTAAATAATAAACAGTGTGTGCTGATAATTCTGGTAATATTGACTGAATAATAAATAAATAAATATTAAATAATAATTTCTGAATAATAATCAGTGTGTGCTGATAATTCTGGTAATATTGACTGAATAATAAATAAATAAATATTAAATAATTATTTCTAAATAATAAACAGTGTGTGTTGATAATTCTGATAATATCAACTGAATAATAAATAAATAAATATGAAAAAATAATTTCTAAATAATAAACAGCGTGTGCTGATAATTCTGGTAATATCGACTGAATAATAAATAAATAAATATTAAAAAATAATTTCTAAATAATAAACAGCACGTGCTGATAATTCTGGTAATATCGACTGAATAATAAATAAATAAATATTAAATAATAATTTCTAAATAATAAACAGTGTGTGCTGATAATTCTGGTAATATAGACTGAATAATAAATAAATAAATAATAAATAATAATTTCTAAATAATAAACAGTGTGTGCTGATAATTCTGGTAATATCGACTGAATAATAACCAGTTAACTGAATGGTTTGCCAGTGAAGAACAAAACAGTGACAATGTCTCAGAAGTGCATTATTGATATTCAGAGAAGCTCAAATCTGTCAATAAGCAGTGAAACTTCAAGTAAAAACAGAATCTGATGTTGTTTGTGTTGTTTCATTTGCAGTGGTGTACCTGCTGGTTTACCATGTTCTTTTCATCATGTTTGTGTGGGCATACTGGCAAACCATCTTTACAAAGCCCCTGAATCCACTGAAGGAGGTGAGTGTCTGAGAGGGACATCCCTCACATGCAACATCTCCTAAGCTCTCTAGAAAATTTGGGAAAACTTGGTACATTCTCACAGCTACAATTTAAAATTGAGTTTAAAAACCTGCCTCAGGGATTATTCTTAAACACTTCTGTTGTGAAACAATATTTTTAGGTTTCTGCTGCACTGCTGTCAGTGCCATAAACACGTTGCATTTTAATTGCAGAGAAAATTGTAATACAGAAGACGAACAAATACTACTTTGTATAATGCTGTCCCCTTCATACTTCATATTTTCTGTCTTATTTTATTATTGCATTGTATATCCATTTTTGTAACTTGTCAAGGGACAGCAGATACGAATTAGCTTTTGCTATAATCTGGCATTGTCCCTTTTTAGATAAAGTTCATTCATTCATAGACTTGAAATCGTACCTGATATTTTCATCACACTGTTTCTAGTCCTTCTGAGGATCCAGCATCTCTTCTCCAGTGGTTTATCGTAGCCGAGCCACAAAGTAGGATGCAGGTTTTTCTCTGTCGGCCGTTTGTCAACAAAGTGAAATGAGCACACATACAACGTTTTGGGTGGTCTCTTCAAATTCAGGTTTTTAAGCCACATTCTTCTTAATTCTTCATTTGCAGATAGGTGATGGAAACCATACCACTTTACATGGAACACGTTTTGTTTTGGGTCCAGGTTCAAAACACTGTTGTAGCCACTGATTTAGTTTGGTCTGGTTGTTCGCGCAGCCGCGAACAGCACAACAGGTACCTGAACTCCAGGTGGACATGTTCGTAAATTTTATGATTGTTAAATAAATGTCAACAAAACAAAAACTGTGTCTTCTCTGCTAAACTGAATGCAAATAACTTACAATAAGCCACGGTCCATGCTCTGCTACTATGATGCTGCTACTTCCGATGCCTGACGGTAAGTTGCGCACATAATAATTTCTACAGTAGAGCCCCCGGGAATAAAGTGGATAGGTTTCAGCTTCACAATGTTATCAAATAGTGTTTTTAGACTAATGAACCTTTCCAGTGGGGAAGAGGAGCTGCCCCGAACTGGACTGCTGCACTTCAGTTCTGTAGACGCTAACATGAAAACCGCTGCATTTCCATTGTTTCTGAGATGAAGCTCACACTCATCGTCTGATATGACAGAACTCCTTCATGAGATCTAATCCTCGGATCACAACATTTTTGCTCATTGTAAGAAAACGTGTGCAAGCTGAGTTGTCTGTTATCAGCTCAGGTATTTGTTTCAGAATTCACTCATAAATCCCCTCAATGTCTGAAAGTAATATTGGAGCTCTGTGCTTCTGTTTTCCTGCCTTAGCCAAAACAAATGAAAGTATTGGAGATCCTCCCCACAACAATAAACTACTTATTGCTGTTACTCAAAGAGCATTTAGCTTATAAACGTGAATATTTTTTTGCTTGTGGCTTGCATGCAATTGTTTGCCATGTTAGAAAATTCTGTCATGAACCACTGGAGGAATTTAAATGAAACTTGAAGAAAGTAATCACTGGCTGTAAATCAACACCTGATTCAAGATGTCTGCCATAGCCAACTGACCTAAAACAATAAAAAATAGATATACCTATAAAATATGGTTTGGTAGTAGCTGAGGCCGATCCCCAGCACATATTCTGAGTTTTTCACATTATTTGGCAGTTGACTCGGGACTTGAAAGTCCCAGGTTCGATCCTCAGTCATTGTACAACTCGTGGTGTCTCTGAGTAGGACATCTTATCCCCAATTGCTCCCCGGGTGCTTTCCACAGCTGCCCACTGCTCCACCTGGGGAAGGATAGGTTAAATGCAGACAGCCAATTTTGCCATTGTATGGGAACATAACACGTTATTATTATTATTATTATTTATTTATTTATTTATTTTTTTTATTATCATCATCATTTTCCAGATTTGACTATAACAGCTAAAACTAGGTAAAGTTATTAAACAGCATGGGATAAATTTCCATTGTTATGCTGATGACACACAATTATATTTGTCCATTAAACCCAATGAATCCAATCAGCTACTGAGACTACAAGCATGTCTTAAAGACATAAAAATCTGGATGACTCTTAATTTTCTCCTGTTGAACACAGACAAAACTGAGGTTTTGGTTTTTGGACCTGAGCACCTTAGGAATTAATTTTTCAGTCTTTCTCCCTCCTTAGATGGCATTAATCTGTCATCCAGCTCTAATGTTAAAAATCTTGGTGTTATTTTTGATCAGGACATGTCTTTTATCCCCCACATTAAAAACGTTACTAGAACTGCCTTCTTCCACCTGCGTAATATCACTAAAATTAGAAACATCTTATCTGAAAATGATGCAGAAAAACTGGTCCATGCATTTTTCACGTCTAGACTGGACTATTGCAATGGTTTAATATCTGGGTGTCCAAGTGTGTCTTTAGTAAAAAAAAATCGTCTTCAGTTGATCCAAAATGCTGCTGCTAGAGTCTTAACTGGAGTTAGTAGGCAATATCATATCTCTCCAGTTTTAGTTTCTCTCCAATGGCTCCCTGTCAAATCCAGAATATAATTCAAAATCTTACTTCTAACCTACAAAGCTCTCAACAACCTAGCCCCATCTTATATTACAGATCTTATTGTTCCATATTTTCCTAACAGAGCACTTCGCTCTCAGACTCCAGGTTTACTTGTGGTTCCTAGAATTTACAAAAACAGAATGGGAGGCAGATCCTTCAGTTATCAGGCTTCTCTCTTGTGGAACCAACTTCCAATCTCTGTCCGTGAGGCGGACACATTGTCCCGTTTTAAAACTAGGCTTAAGACTTTCCTTTTTGATAAATCCTATAGTTAGGGTCGGCTTGGGTTTCCTGAGCTGTCCCTTAGTTATGCTGCTATAGGCTTAGACTGCTGGAGGAAAAACTGACCACAATTTTCACTCTGCTGCTGTTTTTACTTTTAAAAGGGAGTTTTTTCTTTCCACTGTTGCCACTTTGCTTGCTCAGGATGGGAGACTGCAACGAAGCCAAGATTCAACTTGTCTGCTGGATTCCTTAGAGAACTTTACTAATTGGCTTTTATGTATGTGAATGTTTCTGTAAAGTGCCCCGAGACAACTTTGTTGTGATTTGGCGCTATATAAATAAACTGAATTGAATTGAATTGAACTAACAACTTCATAATTTCTCAACATAAGATGATTTAAACCTAAACTGGTGGGTGATATTTTCCTTTGAGGAATGCTGGGCCTTTAATTGAATCTGACCATCCATCCATCATCCATCATCCATCCATCCATCCATCCATCCAGCCATCAAACCATCCATCCATCCATTCATCTTCCACTTGTTGCAAAATGTGACCGTTGCATCAGTGGCTTGAGCATGGAGTCCCAGATATCTCTCTCCCCATATCCCTCTTTCAGCTCCTCTGGGAGGATTCCAAGGCATGCCCAGGCCAGCCCCAGGATGTTCTCCCAGTCAGACATATCCAGAGTGCCTCTCTTGGGAGATACCCAGAAAGCATCCTTACCAGATGTCCAAACCACCTCAACTGGCTCCTCTCGATGTGGAGGAGCAGCGACGTTACTCTGAGTCTCTTTTGGATAGCTGAACTTCTCATCTTATCTACAAAGTATACGCTACCCTGTGAAGAAAACAATTTTGAACTGCCCATATCTGTAATCTCATTCTTTCAGTCACTACCCAAAGTTTGTGACAATAGATGAGTGTAAGAACATAGAACAACTGGTAAAGAGAGAGCTTTGCCTTGTAGCTCAGCTCCCTCTTCACCACAACAAACCAGCACAGAGTCCACAATACTGCAGAAGCTGCATCAATCCATCTGTCAGTCTCATTCATTCAACCTTTATTTATACAGGTTAGTCTCATGCTTCATTCTTCCTTCACTTGTGAACAAAACCCCGAGATACTTAAACTCCTCTACTTGAGGCAGCACCTCAACCCCAAACTGGAGAGGGTAATTCGCCCTTTTCAAACTGAGGACCATGTCCTCAGATTTAGAGTTGTTGATCTTCATCTCAGCTGGTTCACACTCAGTTGCAAACCACTCCAGTTAGAGCTGGAGATCACTGCACAATGACGTCAAAAGTACCACATCATCTGCAAAAAGCTGAGAAAAAATCCCGAGGCCACCAAACTGGACTCCCTCTGCCCCTTGGCTGCACCAAGAAATTCTTTCCATAAAAGTTATTAACAAAAATTGTGACAATGGGCAGTCCTGGTATGGTCTAACCCACCCTAAAGAGATCTGACTTACTGTCGGCAATGTGAAATAAACTCTCGCACCACTTGTATAGGGACTAAACGGCCCGTAGCAACGGACACCCAATCCAACACTCACAGAGCGCAATCCACAGTGTACTTTGAGGAACACAGTTGAAAGCCTTCTCCAAGTCCACAAAACACCCGTAGACTGGATGGGCAAACTCCCATGACACCTCAAGAATTCTTGTGAGAGTAAAGAGCTGGTCCAGTGTTCCACAGTCAGGACGGAACTTGCATTGTTCCTCCTGAATCCAAGGTTCAGCCATCGACTGGACTCGCTTCTCCAGCACCCCTGAATAGACCTTATTGGGGAGGCTAAGGAGAGTGATCCCCCTATAATTGAACACACTCTCCTGTCCCCCTTTTGAAGAGAGGAACTGCTACCTCAGTCTAACAATCCAGTGACACTGCCTCAATATCCTTGCAACACATATGTCTTGTAACACATTTGTCTATCAATATGAATCTGTTGGACTCCTGGCAAGGACCAATGCAGGCATGTTCCTGTTTTTAGTTTTCTACATTCGTCTTAGAATCTAGCTGTATTTTTGTTACTTTTATGGCCATCTTATTTGTAATAAATAAATAAACAAATAAATTAATAAAATCTGTATGCCTTTTTGTGGCTGTCTATTGTTGTCGCTGTTGTCCATTGTTTTCATCATTCTTTGTTGAAATCAGGTCTCTCTTGTAAATGAGTCCTCAAGGCTCAATGGGATTTACCTGTCTAAATAAAGGTTGAATGAATGAATGAAAAAATATCCAGAGCAGTAAGGAACTAAGAGCACATCTCATCCAACAACAAAACACCTCTCGAGTTTAGATCAGAGAGGTTATTCCTCCTAATCACATCCCTCCAGGTCACACTGTCTTTACCCACATTGACACTGAAGTATCCCATCAAAATAAAAGCTTCCCTAGCCAGAGCACCTTCCAGCACCCCTGCTTGGAACTCCAAGAAGATTGGATACTCTGATCTGCTGCTGTTCAGCATGTAGGCACAAACAACACAATAGTCAGAGCCCATGTCCTCACATTAAGGCATAGAGAAACTTCCCACTCATCTACCAGGGAAAACTCCAATGCGCAGGCACCAATCTTAGGGGCTACAAGTAGATCCATGCCAACCTGGCACTCCTCACCATGAGCAACTCCAGAGTGGACTAAGCTCCAGCCCCTTTCAAGAAAATTGGTTCCAGAGCTCATGATGTGCGTAGAGGTGAGCCCAACTATATCTAGTTGGTACCTCTCAACCTCACACACAAGCTCAGGCACCTTCTCCACCAGAGCGGTGACATTCCTTGTCCCAAGAGCCAGCTTTGGTAAGCCAGCAACAGAGCCTTCGATTACCACCAGTGGCACTGTGCACCCCAATCGTATGGCTCTCCTGCAGTGGTGAGCCCACAGGAAGGCAAACCCATGTTGCTATGTTGTTCGGGCAGAGCTTGATCCCCCATGGGAAAGGACCCATGGACGCTTGCCCATAACCCATGTCTGGACAAGGGACATGAGCTCCTTGCTGTTATCTGTCCAAACGAGTGTTCTGAATCACTCTTTGTCTGGCCTATCACCTAGATCCATTCAGTCTTGGGAGACCCTTTGAGAGGCAAATGTCCTAGACAGCAAAGCTCATAGGATCATTCAGGTGCTCAATCTCCTCCACCACGATAAAGAGGAGATTCACAGAGGAGTGAATCAGATCATTGTACAGTTATAATTATTCTTATAAATCCCAGAATCTGTTAGTTTTCTTTCTTTTTTATTGTTGTTTGTTTTCTACACAGTTTCAGCTGTCCAACTCTGACAAGGAGCTGCTGGAGCGTGAAGATCGAGGGGAATCTCAGCAGGAAATCCTGAGGAGAATAGCAAAAGACTTGCCCATCTACACTCGCACAAACTCTGGAGGTACACACAACTCAGTAGAAGTGGAGGAGCATAGACGGACACCTCTCCAAGCTCATTTCAGCCCGTCAAGCTTAGTTTGTGGTCAGAAGTTAGGAGATGCTTCTGCTGATGACTGTCTGATTGAACTGACTGTCTCCTCAGCTATTCGTTTCTGTGAGCGCTGCCAGCTGCTGAAGCCTGATCGATGCCACCATTGTTCAGTTTGTGATAAGTACGACTCTTCTACACAGAACAGACCACAGTTTTCACAGCTCACTGACAGAAAGTCAAACACAATCTCATTGATGTGTGATGATGCTGTTACAGATGCATCCTGAAGATGGACCACCACTGCCCCTGGTATGTACTGATGCTCTTTTAATATACCAGCAGCTGTGTAATTTTTCACAACAATTACTTATAACAAGTGGGCCTTTGTTACAAAACAGCATTTAGTTTATTAGTTAGAAAACAACAAACAAGGAGGGGAATAAAATGTTCAGTATTAGAGCCACAGCAACAAAATCAACCAAAAACTAAAATGTTTGACCGTTACTGTTTATTCTCCCGCAAAAGTGAAATGTGAATGTTAAATTTTGTGTCTGTGCATGTGCTTTTCTGTTGTGTTAGCAAAATATTCCGAGGATGAATTGAATGCATTTATTGAAACTCTTAGAAAGTTATTGATTGATGCACATTAAAGACGACTGATTAGAAACAAGTGTCTGAAAATGCAGATTGAGTGCAAATTACTTTACTGAAACCTGCTAAATTTAGCAACACAGCATCAAAAAGCTAAAAAAAAAACACCAAAAAAAAAAAAAAAAAAAACAGTAGCTAAAAGCTTAAATGAAAAGTTGCTAAAAGCAGAAATGAGCAAACTAGTAGGTAGGTATAAGCTAAAATTAGTAAAATGTTAGCTAAAACTTAAAAGTAGTGAAATAGTTACATGAAGCTTAAATTATTAGGAAAGTAGATAAAGCTAAAACCAACATAACAGTAGATGCAAGCAAAAATCAGCAAAACAGCAGCTTAAAGCTAAACTTAAAGCAGGCATGGTTAATTGATTTTTAACTAGCACAAAGTTTTCATTTATTTTATAAAAAATGTAAATAAAGAAACACATGATACACAGATATCACTGGTTGTTGAGGGGTTTAAATAGTGAAAGTAGTTTTTGAGATGAGTGTTTTTCTGGACTGGAGTTGAACAGGGCATGTAAGTAAACTTTAATGTTTTTGGTGCAGGATGCTAAAGTGAGTAGGAGTTACACTGTGTATTAGAACAGTCAGGATTTTTTTTTTTGGCAGCTCAGAGCGATGAATCCTGGCGATTGGCAGTTCTTTTATTCCCAGTTCATCCAGAGTTTTCTTCTCTGCCACCGTCTCCATAGAGTCCAGCTTCATGTTGACAAGACTATCTAATCAGATTGTCCAGCTTAGAAGAATCCTTCTTGGATGTGCTGTCCCAGACAACAACCACCCCACCCCCATGTCCAAAGCTAGTTTTATAGCAGGTATATGATGTCATATTGAGACAAGGTTTCCCTTCTCATGACTCTGAATATAATGGTTAAATATCCTGGTTAAAGGTTGTTTCCAAACCCACAGAGCAGACAGATGGTCCTGGACTCAAACCTTCAAAAAGGATAAACTGGTGTGTTCACAAAATAACAAATGACAAAACTTGTGGGGATTCCCAGGAGCGTGGAGCCAGAATCAGAATCAGAATAAACTTTATTATCATTGCACCGAGGTACAACAAGAACATGTACATACAGTCGTCCGAAAGATGGGCGGAGTGCACACAGCTGCTACTATAAAAAGTGTGGCCCTCATTATTCTTATTCAGAATAATATTTTGCTGACACACACGTAGGTGTTTAATGCAGAACCAAGGAACAAACTAACAAAATCACCAACACCTGGCAGGGAGACAAACTACAACAGGTGAGTGGGGCGGGGGCAGGAACCACAGAACGCATCATGATCATCCAAAGTATAAAATAAAATATTATCTAATAACAAAACAACACAGATTGTGATAAAGAATTGTGTTTAGTTATTTAGGCTGGAAGGGTTTGTTTTCTGGTGTGATCTAAAATCACTAAAATCAAATTACATTAAAACTATCTATCCATCCATCCATCCATCCATTATCTTTACCCGTTTATTCCATTTTGGGTCACAGGGGTCGCTGATGCCCATGTCCAGCAATCCCTGTGCGAGGGGCGGGGTACACCCTGGATGGGTCGCAAGTCCATCACAGGGCCACATAGAGACAAACGAGACAAACAACCATTCACTCTCTCACTCACACCTAGGGACAATTTAGAGTTACCAATCAGCCTAACATGCATGTTTTTGGTCTGTGGGAGGAAACCGGAGTACCCGGAGAAAACCCACGCATGCACGGAGAGAACATGCAAACTCCACCCAGAAAGGCCCCTGGACCGGGGTTTGAACCAAGGACCTGCTCGCTGAGAGGCAGCAGCTCTACCAGTTGCGCCACCGTGCTGCCCACATTAAAACTAAAGAAGTAATTTCTTTTGCCGAAACCAGAGCTGTCATGTTGGCAAATGATTCAAGCTGAGAACGTCACATGAAGAATGTTCAGCAAACAGAGTTGCACCCTCATGATTTCATGTCAGCAAAACTGAACCCTGCATTATGAACAAAACAAACAAAAAAACACTAATATCTGTACCATAGTTGTCTTGGGATTACTAGAAAACAAAGCTTTTTATTCTTGAAACAATGTTACTGTGAGAAAAAGAAAACAGATACTGAGGTAAACCTAACGTCTAAATGGCACAGGTGTAGATTCTTATCAGGACAGGTAATCATAACGGAGATATCAAAGCACCTGGACCCAAACATCCAAATGCGAATCACAAGGTACATTTTTAAACTGTTAGGACAATGAGTTGAGGAGGACTTAGCTGCTACCACTCCAGATTTTAGCTCAATATCCCAAAGACTGACTGAGTCATAGTGATTTGTTTTTGTGGGGAGTTAGGCCAGTTAGTTGTGGCAGCCATCTTGAATCAGTTGTAGATACAGTACACACCCAGTGATGACATTCTAAGAGTTTCATTGAAATCCATCAGACAGTTCATGAGATATTTTACTAACAGACAGAATTGCACATGATTGCTCACCTGTCGTATAAGCAAGCAACAAAAACTGGTAGTATTTTGATGATGCTGATGGAAAAACAAGCTCACCAACAAGCTGCTCATCAGCACTGAGGAATGTTGGACATTTTTACCTGTGGAGAGAATTCAGCAGAAACAAAAAAACCATTGTCATCACCTACCTACCTATGATTCTTGTTGCAGGGTGAACAACTGTGTGGGATTCTCCAACTACAAGTTTTTCATGCTGTTCCTGGTGTACTCTCTGCTCTACTGTCTTTTTATAACTGCAACAGATCTTCGGTACTTTATCAAGTTCTGGACAGTAAGTAATACTAATGCTGTTACTGGAATGCTAGCTCACAGTATCCCAAGTATCTTAATGAAGAACTGAACATGTTGGTGGTTTTTGCTCTTTCCACAAGGCTGGAGGTAGAGCACATTTCCGTCTCAAAGAATACCTGGTATGAGCCTTGCAGATAAATAAGAAACCTACGGTAGAAACTAGTTCTGACCAGACAATAGTTTTTAGTGGTTTGCAAATGTTTAGGCACCCTGACGAATTGGGATTCTCAAACTTTTACAAAATGTCAGTCCTTAAAAGATTTGCTTCGGCAAGGGCTTGAAGTAGTGTTGTAGCCAGGGGTATTGGAAAAAAATTGTCAGAAGAAAAAATGGATTTAGTTGATAGGCAGCAAAATCTGGAAGCAAACATCAAGTTATCTGTAAAAAAAAGTAGAAGATGAGAATAATATGTATTCTTAAAAAAGATTGAAAATGATCGGAAAAATAAAAATTGCTGGTGAAGGTTCTCAGTTAACCACAACATGATAAATCCAAAAAGGTTAACAAGCAAAACTGGTCTGAAATATTCAGCTGCTGAAGATGTTTCACTTCCCATACAGGAGGTTTTATCAGTCAAAGCTAATGCAACAAATGCTAAAGCATTGTCATCCCAGATGTTTTCTGGAGTATCTGAAAAAACTCTGGAGGACTGATCCAAACACGACATTATCTCAGTATATTTCAAACCTATCAAGACCTTCAGACAGAGGCTGGTCCGCCCTAAGGACAAAACCCCAAACTGAACAGTGTGGTCTGCAGCTCAGTCAGCCAGGAATGTTCAAAACTCTATAATGGAGAAACTAAACAACCTCTCTAAAGCTCTCCAGGACAAGACTCAGCAGTGCACCAACACCTCAAGGAAAAGGGACACTCTGATGAGGATCAAAATATCCATATTTTAGACAGAAAAGACAGATGGTTTAAAAGAGAGGTGAAGGAAACCATTCAACATCAAACAAGAAAAAACAGCTTTAAGCAGAGGAGTGTAGGAGAATAGGCTGGTCTGAACACCCTTTAACAGGTGTGTACACTAACCATTCAGTTATGTAATAAATGTTGACCGGCCTCAACCCCAAGCATATATAAGTGGGTTCTTGTAGCAAATTTAATTCCCCTCTCTCGAAAAAAAGACAAAGATTTTAAATACACAATTATGTAACGTTCATTTTCAGTTTGAATAATGACAATATGAAATTATGGCAAATATGAAATATAGATGAATAACCAATAGTATTATTTCAGAAAGTGAATTACATAAATAATAGAGACTTTGAGAAGAGGTATTCAATTTGGACTAATATTTTTACATCTAACGTAAAAATTTAAGTATACTTATCTCAGATTCGTGAACTAAATTATGTCTAAACAAACTCAGTTGGCACTTAGTTGTTTCTCATCAGAAGGAAGACGTTCAGTCCTACCAGGAAGGCGTCCATTCTCTCATTACCACAGTGGAAGCAGGTGTGCTGAGGAAAGCCGGTGGTCTGCTGTCCCAAGAAGGAATCTTTCCCGAGGACTGCGTTTCTTTTGGCAAGACAGCATCATTGCTCCTGGGTGTTTGAGCGTTAAGGATTTCTGGGCTGGCTCAGAGACAACTCACCACCTGGACTCCTCTTCCATCATGACACTGTTTCTCTCAGAGAGAGTTCTCCTTGGCAACTCTCCTCAGCAACTTTTAGCTCTGCTGCTCTACAACTGCCTTTGGTGTCCTGCTTACCTGATACCTCAGAAGTTGTGCTCTCGATTCTTAACCAATCACAGTGCTATCGCAGTGGGTGTAACCCGACTGTATAGTTAATGTAAACCAACAAAATCCATGCTCAATAATCCAGGTATACAATCCAACAATTTTCAGTCAGGTCATCTGGACACTTTCTTTTTTTTGTGCTGAAACGTTTCATCTTCCATCCAGAAGACTTCATCAGTCAAGGAAACACACAACACAAAACTGATTCATGGACTTTATTTTACTATTCAACACACACAGACAGAGTGAACCCCACACGTCTTCATGACAACTACCTACCTCACTCATGGTTACTGCCTGACACAAACTAACACATAATGAACAAACTAACAAGAACAGACTAACCACTAATGCCCCTTTTCCATTAGTACCGGTACGGGCCGGTACAGCCCGGCTCTAATAAGAGAACAATACCAAACAACTAACTGAAATCATTAACAATGAACATAAATTGTACCCAATTTAATTTACTGGGTGGCCTCAGTGGGCCTCAGTTGAGACAGTCAACCATAATGGAACACAGAATGTTACAAGTCGTACCAGTAACATACACAAATACATACAGTAAATATTTTTTTCTGAACAGAGCCGATAACTTGGCTGGTTAAAAAAAAACACAGTAGACTACCAGGAAGTCATTGAATGCTATAATCCTCCTGCTGCAAGCTGTCCTCCTGCTCGAGCAGAGCAAAATTGCTCTGTGAGCATGTGAGGCTCACATGCGCTGTGCATGCAGGGGTATCCACACTCCCTTTCTCTCAATTCAGTTCAGTTTAATTATATAGCACCAATTCACAACAAAGTTGTCTCAGGGCACTTTACAAAAACATTCATATATGTACATAGAAATGGTATTAGTAAATTTCTCTATCTAGGGAAGGAAACTCTCCTCCCCTCCCCATTTCATTCTTTCGGCTGTGACCTGTTCGGGAATTTCATTGGTCAGATTTTAATCATTTTTTAACCTTTATTTAAACAGGTAGTCTCATCAATATATCTCTTGGGGGGTGGGACTCAATGAGACTACCTCATTGGTTCATAGTGGTTGACTGCTGGTCACATGGTCTTTATGTTCATTGTTAATTATTTCAATTAGTTGTTTATCATTGTTCTCAGTGATTAGTCTGTTCTTGTTTGTTTATGTGTTCATTATGTGTTAGTTTGTGTTTGGCCATTCAGTAGAGTAACTATGAGTGAGGGAGGTAGTTGTGATGAAGACCTGTGGGGTTCACTCTGTGTATGTCACGAGGACACCCCCCCACCCCCCCCCCCCCCACAAGAGAGACATGCATTGGGCAGCTATGTGAGTGTCTGGGTGTGATTAAGCCAAATGCTTTTGGTAGCAGAAAGTTCGTTAGCCCGTCAAAAAAAAAATCCATAAATTAGCCACAGCATTGTATAGGCCGTGGAGTTTAAAGCCTGTTAAAAAGGTAGTGGCTTATGTACAGGGCTTAATTTGAGCTGGATCCTGCCCGAACAAGATCCAGTAACTCTCAGGCCTAATAATACTACATTTTTTAACAAATGTGACTGCCTTGTACAAATAAAACTTATATTGGATATGTAAACTGAAAATAATTACATAAACACTAATTTTAAACATAACAAGCTTCCTAATATCACATCAGATTTGTCCCTTCGCATTTCTGCTTCTGCTCTTAAAAAAATCTTCGCCTCTAAAAGTTCAAATTCATGGGCAATTTTATTAAAAAACACAAAAATATAATTAAACATTTTTGCATTACACATAAGTTGCTGTGCTTTGTGAACAATCTGATGCATGAATCACTGCAAGAGTTCTCTGAACTTCCACTTGAACTGCAATGAATACAATGATCTTGGCTCACAAAGATATCTGTTGTGCAGTGAGTATTTGAGGCGATGTTGGAGCGACCAGGACACTTTTCTGAATTGAGCAGGAGGATTGAGAGCAACTCTTTTCTAAGCCTGTGACAAAGAGCTAAATATTAATATTAGGCATGTTTTTCCTAAGCGTGGCCCTAAACCTATTAGAGAAACGTTTGTTGTCCCACAGTTCAGAGCAGGGAGGAGGATGAGGAGGTGCACCTGATATGATATGTGGGATATACTAAACAACTAGTAGATGAGAAATGATCCTGCACTTAATACACTTATAATTCACACAAAAAGCATTTAAAAGTAAATTATAAATATGAACTGGCTTCAGTGGCAATTTTTGTCTCTTTTTGGGGGTGCTCAAACACTCCTAAATTTTAACTCAGCCCCTCTAGAAAATAAAGAAACCATCATCAGGATTTTGTAAAGAAACAGTTCTCAAACCTTAGATTCACTAAAATATTGAATAAATATTGAATAAATATTGAATAAATGACGACAGTCTGAAACAGACCAGTAAAATCTATGATTTTTTTTCATGAGTCGCGCTACCTGTCAATCAATCCAGTAGACACATCAGCAACTGACCAATCGGTGACCTCAATTTGTCCTGAAGTGAACTCCCCTTACCTGCAGAGCTGCATTACGAACTCTTTGCAGTCAGAGATTTTAATAATAACTGAGTTTACATCTTTTGTTTCATGTTAATCTACTGTAATAAACTTTTGTAAAATTCACCAGAATGCAGGAAATGGTATCTACTTTATTCAAGATTCTTTGGGGGAGCTCTAATTTCACCTTCAAATTAACTGCTAATCCCAGAGGTTCACATACTTTTACCACTCACAAATATGCAATACTGGATCATTTTCCTCAATAAATAAATGACCAAGTATAATATTTTTGTCTCATTTGTTTAACTGGGTTCTCTTCATCTACTTTTAGGATGGATTTATGTGAAAATCTGACGTTTAAGGTAATGTTTATGCAGAAATAGAAACTTATAAAGGCTTCACAAACTTTCAAGCACCACTGTTTATCATCAATTTCTGCAAAAATATCATACTAACCAGTTTATTTAAACTAGGTGTGATGAAGGAGGAAAGCCTCTAATATTCCTCTAAAACCCTCCAAACAGCTGCCCCTGTGGGTTGAGTTTGACACTTTAAAACTAAGTGTTCATAATTCAACTGTTTTCCAAACTTAGATTGTTCAAAAAGATATGTACATCAGGTTTGACACTATTTCCTCCTAACCTTTTCTTAGAAGGTTATTAAAAAATATCTGAACTAACCAGGGCTTAATTTGTAAACCAATTGATGCTGGAATGCAAATAGTGGGTGGGTCCGGTGGAGGAGGGGTGGGGGTGAGTTGGGGGGATTCTCCCCCAGAAAATTTTGAATAAATTATATGCAATTTCCTGCATTTTGGTGTATTTTTACAGGTTATTAAAAAAAAATGTTTTCCTGCATTTGTAAACACTGTGCTTCTGTCAATCATCCCAGCTCCCTCCCCTTAACTTGATGGTTCCGAGCCAACAGTTCTCTGCAGAATTCATTGTTCAACTCCACATGTGAAACACCCAGTCGCCTCCTCCATCTGTTCATGGCGGCTGCCTAGTTAGCACGGCCCTCATCCCCATCACTCTTTTAGTGGCAGAGATTTTTTATGGGTAGAAGTAGAAATGTTACTTGAAGAGGCAGCTCATATGTGATATTAAGAAGCTTGTAAGTGGCTGTTGTGTTTAAAATGTGTCTTTATGTAATTATTTTCAGATTACATATCCAGTATAAGTTTTATTCGTTCCAGGCAGTCATATTTGTTCATAACTATTATTATTAGCCTGAGAGTTGCCGGATCCAAGCAAAGAGTTACCGGAACGCACCCTGTCAAAATAAGAGAGTTCCTGGATCCTGTTCTGGCAGGATCCTGTTCTGGCAGGATCCGTCTCAAATTAAGCCCCGGAAGTAACCCTTTAAGCTTAAAAACATGAACTACATAGAGGACATTAATGCTGCTTTGCCACTGGTAGGTGCTTGTCCACCCAGCTGTCCTCTTCTCGGTTCTTCTCAGGTGGAGGTGATTTGCCCCTACAGAGGAGGCTGACCTGTTCCCTGCTCTGTGGGCTGGTTCATAACTGGTCTTTTTGTATTTGTGGTTCTTACTCACCCTGTATTTGTATTTAATTTTTTTTAGCTTATCCCAACACTGCTTATATGTCCAGGTGTAATGTTGTGCCATCATCTCTGATATCTCTCGGTAGATGCGCTAATTTCTTGTGCCGCCGTCCATCAACACGAAAAGGAAGTGGAGGTTCAGATGTAGTTTGTAGTTTTGCTGGGCTGGTCATGAAGTGATGTAGCTCCGCTATCCAAGCAACAGCTGTTGTTTGCTCACGGAAAAAACGGTCCCTCGTTCTCTGCTGGGAACCTCAAACAAGATGGTCCCATAAATCAAGTTGTGTGGTGGTGGATACCGACAGTGGAGAGGCCCTGAACTGATGCCGTGTGGAGCCGAGGGGGGTTGAGACAAGTGAACACGTCATAACAGTTCATCTGAAAAGTACTTAACAAAAAAGCTAAACTTATAGACTGTGGCCAGACAAATAAAAAAATAGGTGGTTAACTTTAAAAGTGCTTCAAATGGAAAGGACAGAAATTGGCTACATGGAGGACTAATCAGAAAAAAGTGTCAGCTGTCCTGTAGAAACAAAAACAACTTGCATTTGAGTTTACATTTTTATTTCAAGCCAAACTTTTTAAAATAGTTGAAAAGCTGAAAAAAGTATTAAAAGTATTATAGGATTATTTTGTTATTTAATGTAATGTCTCAGAATTTAATTTTATTTATTTACAGCAATATAAGTTTATGCCATGACACCGTACAACTGAAGTTTTGTTTGCTAAGCTATTCACAGCTAAATCACTCTGAACAGGGTGCCCAGACATTTTTGTTTATGATCCTCAAACATCGTCTGATCGTGAGTCGTAGTCTTTGGATGTTAGCAGAGTAGACTCCTCACATTCTTGTTCACCTCTGTTTCAGTTTTAATGTGCTCTCCCCTCAGAAAGGCCTCCCGGAGACTCAGGCGAAGTTCCACATTCTGTTCCTCTTCTTCTCTGCCTCCATGTTTTCTGTCAGCCTGGCTTCACTCTTCATCTATCACTGCTGGCTCATCTGCAAGAACAGATCCACACTGGGTGCGTTGTACTTTCCCTGCCTGTTTGTGTCAACGTGTTTTTTTGTTTGTTCGAAGTATTGATGATAACCCTCTCTCTGGTTATATCCAGCTTGTAATGGGTGTTTCTTGGCATTTTTCCCTCTGTCTATTACCATCTTCATTGGCACAGAGATATGATGCTTTAGGCCATTATCAGTCCAAGGTCTGTCATTAGGAGTGCATGGTGGTGGACTTTGTTTCTGTGTGTTGAGCAGAGTGGATTAGCCTGATGAAGTATGTTCCAGTGTAATGTAAATACATAAGGCTCTGAGCAGTAAGCAGCTTATAAAGAACAGATATGCAGTTCAGAAACACTTGCTGAAGAGTGCACAACAAAGACGAGTTCATTCACATGTTCTGATGCCACACTGTTGATCTGAGTGAGCTGAGGCCTCATGTATCAGAATACTGAAAGTTGGCGTAAGGAAAAAATGAGAAAAGTGTGTGTACACAGACATATTCAGATTTATCAACCTGTGCAAACTCGTGTTTCTGCGCACATTTCCCCTCATCCACCCGGACGAACGTGGAACGGAGCTCACGTGAGACACCGCCCCTCATCCACCTCTGTTTGAATATGTAAATAGATGCAAATATGTTTTGCACCTGTAATTTTGTCTCTGCGTCATAAATACATTATGTACAGTTGCAGCAAAATGAGGAATTCAATGGAATCTGAGTCAGAGACGCACTTCAGTAAGGTTGTGGGGTTTAAAAACACGTTTGCCACACATAGGCAAACAGGAAGTTTAAATGAACTGAACCAGAGGCGTAGATCTGCTGGTGGCGCACTTCTGAAGCAGAGGCATTTTCTCTATGCGTTTGAGAACATAATTTCTGTAAACACAGAGACACCCAGGAGCTTGGTACAACTTACAACCTTTTTTTCAAATTATTGACATGAAGAAATGAGTTGCTGCAAAAACAAAGCATTTCAGCCACGGTGTAGTGGATATTTTATAGATTTGAGCATCATGAGGTCATCCCATACAGCTAGCATGGCACAGCACACAAACAACTGTGAAATATCCCATAGGTATTTGGTCAGAGTGAACTTCCCAAAACACGCTGCCTCTCAATCCTGGGGATGTCTTGGCAGCTCAAAAGTTATCATTGTTTCACAATTTTGCACTATTTTACGCAGCTATTTATGAACATATATGTGATTGTGTGCACTTTGCTGGTCTGAGGACTCATCACGGGTGAGTTGTTTTGAATTAATTTACTGATCTGACTCTGTTTCCTTCTCAGTGAGAACGGAAGCAACGACTCACACGCATTCATGCTCCTTATCTGTCTGTGCAACTCGCAGACATGCAGTCGCTGACAAAATATCCATCCATTATCTTTACCTGCTTCTTCCTTTTCGGTTCGCGGGGGTCACTGGTGCCCTTATCCAGCTGTCACTGTGGCTGTCACTGTGCAACACAAGAAACTTTATAGTTTATTTTGTGGTGAAGTTGTTCTGATAATTTTTTAGGCATGTTCTGTAATAGGTTAGATGAAGTTACATGTGTTTCATTGGGATTTAAACCATAAATGCACAAACTTGTGAAAAAACATTGTGTTGAAATACCCCTTAATTTTAGAAAATCTGTCCTATTTTACTGTATTTAGATGAGTACTTTGAATTTGATACTGTGGACTGAAAAGGTTTGCACGGAGGTAGGCACATTATCACAGCAGGTCAGAATTGATATTTATGCACACTTTCATGCAACTTTCATTTTGATATGAGTGCGTGGAACCTGGTGGACACAACTTTTGTGTGTACATGCCGTTGATACACTAGGCCCTCGGTGCTGTCAGTTTGAAAAGGCAAAAAAGTGTGTTTGTCCATCTTCATCCCTCTTTTTCATGTTTGTCGTTTCAGAGGCTGTTCGTGCTCCAGTTTTTCGTCATGGCACAGACAAGAATGGGTTCCATCTTAGCTTTAGCAAGAACTTTCGCCAGGTCTTTGGTGATGAAGTGAAATACTGGCCTATTCCCATTTTCTCCAGGTGAGCTCATCCACCAAAACCATTCAAAATGTGGAAAAAAATGCTTTAATACTCAAATAAAAGTTTGGGAAATAATTGAAAACAGCAGATCGCTCGACACAAGTGCAATTTTTAAATTAAACTGAGTTAGATTAATGTTTTGGGTCATGTTGAGTTGATTTCATGACCATTAACATTTTAATATGTGACCTCATAAAATAAGTAAGCATTGAAGCCACAAATTTACTGGGCTATTTCTGTTGGTGACAAATTGACAACCCAAAATGGCAAAAAAATTAGCAAATTTTCCATTGTGGTCTCACTTAATTCTGAGTATTTGTGACCAAGCAAGTAGCCCATGCAGTCATGTTTTGTGTGACTATTTTTGGAAATGGTGACCTGTTTTTGTGTGCTCAGTTTAAAAATCTGTATTCTAGGCAATGCATATTATTGTTTTGTTCACCACCGAACATACTGTACACATCATGGCTTTCTTAATGTGCAACTTGGTAACTCCCCCACTTTAATGATTTAATCTACCGGAGCATAGCTTACAAATATATACATAAACAGACATGGGCCAATTTTTTTATAATTATTGTTTTTCATCAAGGTAGCTTCTAGACTGTATGATCTGTATGTGGATATCCATTATTCCCTCACTCTTAAACAAACCCTCAAGATACCTCAGCTCAACTTAATGCAACACCTCACTCCCAACCTTGAGAGCTATCCACCCTTTTCTGACTGAGGACCATGTCCTCAAAGTCGGAGGTACTGATCTTCAGCCCAGCAGCTGCAAACCATGCTTTGGGGAGAACTAGAGATCACGTGCAATGAGGCCAACAGAACCACATCACTGACAAAAGCAGAGATAAAATCTGAAAGCCACCCAAACAAACCTTCTGCTGTTGGTGTATTCATGACAACTGGCAGCCCTGGCAAAGTCATCTGGAAGAGGTCTGAATTGCAGCCAGCAATGCAACCCAGACTCTTGTACCACTTGTAAAGTGATATATGAAAGTTTGTGAACCCTTTAGAATTTTCTGTATTTCTGCATAACTGACCTAAAGCATAATCAGATTTTCACAAGTCATAAAAGTAGAAAAAGAGTTAAACAAACGGCAGGAAGGGAGCCTGAGCTTCTGCGTGAGGTTAAGAGGTACCAACTAGACATAGGTGGGCTCACTTCAACACATGGAATGGGCTCCTGAACCATTCTCCTTGAGAGGGGCTGGACCCTATTCCACTTTAGAGTTCCCCTTAGTAAGAAGTGCCGAGCTGGTGTGAGTCTACTAATAGCCCCCGACTTGGTGCCTGTGCGTTGGAGCTTTCCCCAATAGATGAGAGGGTAGCTTCTTTGCTCTGATGATTGTTTCTACCTACATGCTTAATGGCAGTTCAGAGTATCTGGCATTCTTGAAGTCCTTAGTTGGGGGACTGAAAGGTGCGCCAGCTGTGGACTCCTTTATTCTGAGGGAGGAACAGCCTCCCTTATCTGAACCTGAGCAGTGTTCTCTTGTTGGACCTCTGTGCTAGTCATGGTTTTTCAATCACAAATACCATATTTGAACATACGGGTGTCCATAAATGCACTTTGCACAATGACACCCTAGGTTGTAGAATGATGATTGACTTTGTAGTCGTGTCATCTGATTTGCGGCCATTTGTTTTGGACACTTGGGTGAAGAGAGGAGCTAAGCTGTCAACAGGTCACCATCTGGTAATGCGATGGGTCAGATGGTGGGGGAAGATGCCAGACAGATCCGGTAGACCCAAACATGCAGTGAGGGTTTGCTGGGAAGGCCTGACAGAAGAACCCATCAGAAAGATCTTCAACTCACATCTCCAGGGGAGCTTTGACCGCATCTCAGTTGAGATGGGGGGCGTTGAGTCAGAGTGGGCCATGTTCTGCACCTCAATTGATGAGGTTGTTGCCTTGAGCTGTGGCCACAAGGTTGTTGGCACTTCTCGCAGTGGCTATCCATGAACTCTGTGGGGAACACCCCAGGTTTGGGAGGCCATCAAGCTAAAGAAGGAGTCCTATCAGGCTTAGTTAGGGGGCAGATGTGGCTGCGTGGTTAGAGCAATCATACTCCAATGCAAGAGTTGGGGGTTCGATTCCACCAGCAGTCACATGCCGAAATGTCCCTGGGCAAGACACTGAACCCTTCATTGACGCCGATGTGTGTCTCATCGGTGTATGAATGTGATAAAGCACTGATTATTCTTTGTATGGATACAGTTGAGAGCTGCATGAATGGGTAAATGAGGGCACAGATTGTGTTGTAAAGCTCTTTGAGTGTCTTGATAAGATAGAAAGGCACTATATAAGTACAGTCCATTTACCATTTACCTTTATGTAGGCCGGTGAGTGTCCGGAGGCAGCTGAGGAGTACTAGAGGACTAAGTGGTCCACTGCCTTGGCTATTTATGAAGAAAAAGTTTGGATGTGGTTGGAGTTCAGTGAGGTCTTGGGTATACTCACGGTTGGCTCCAAGAAGATTCTGGCAAACCATCAGGAAGCTGAGGAAAGGAAAGGAGCACTTTACTAACACTGTTTTCATTGAAGGTGGGGTGCTGTGAACTCATTCAGTGATGTCAACTGATGAAAAGTATTCCTTTGCCTCCTAACGAGGCAAAACACTCAGATTACCAGTCATTCCATGTTCCTACACTCACCTATGGCCACAAACTCTGGGTAGTGACCGAAAGCTGCAACCCTTTGCCAGTTGAGCTCCCTTTTCACCACAGCAGACTGGCAGAGTCCTCAATACTGCAGACACTGCACAAATTTATCTGTCAATCTCATGTCTCATTCTTCCGTCACTCGTGAACAAAACCCAGAGAAGCTTGAACTCCTCCACTTGAGGCAGAACCTCACTCTCAATCTGAAGGGAGCAATTCACCCTTTTCCAACTGAGAACCATTGCCTCAGATTTGGAAGTGCTGATTCTCATAGCAGCTGCTTTCCACTCGGCTGAGAACCACTCCAGTGAGAGCTGAATATCACGGCACTATGATGCCAAAAGGACCACATCATCTGTAAATAGCACAGAAGGAATCCTGAGGCCACTAAACTGGACTCCCTCTGCCCCCTGTCTGCACCAAGAAATTCTGTCCATAAAAGTTATGAACAGAATCGGTGACAATGGGAAACCCAGCAGAGTCCAACTCCCATACTGAAGGGGTCTGAATTACTACCAGCAATGCAAACCAAACTCTCTTGTAAAGGGACTGAATGGTCCTTTGCAATGGACCCCTAATCTCATACTCACAGAGCACCCCCCACAGTACACCTCAAGGAAGATGGTCGAAAGCCTTCTCCAAGGCCACAAAACACATGTAGACTGGATGTGCAAACTCTCATGATCAGTTCACCCAGTGATCAGACTTGCTCCTCCAGCACCCTTGAATAAAGCTTACCAGGGAGGCTAAGGAGAGTGATGCCCCTATAATTGGCGCACACCCCTTTTTGAAAAAGATAACCAATGGCACTGCACCTGATGTCCATGTGATGTCACAAAGGCATGTCAGCCAAGACAGCCTCATAACATACAGAGCCTTAATGAAATCAGGGTGAATCTCATCCAGCCCTGGAGCCCTGCTACCACCTTGCCTTTTAGATACCTCCGCAACCTCAGCCATGGTTATGGACAGACCAACCCCGAAGTCCCCTGACTCAGCTTCCTCCAGGGAAGACATGCCAGTGAGATTGAGAAGTATTCTTTCCACCTCCTGATGTCATCACTGGTTACGGTCAACAGCACCCCAATTTCACTGAAAACAGTGTTAGTAAAGTGCTACTTTCCCTTCCTCAGTCGTCTGATGGTTTTACAGAATCTCCTTGAAGCCGACTGAGAGTCTCTATCCAAAGCCTCACTGAACTCGTCCCACATTTGAGCTTTTGCCTTAGCAACAGTCAAGGCTGAAGACTTTAGTCCCTACGGTACTCCTCAGCTGCCTCTGGAATCCCACCAGCAAACAAGAATTGATAGGACTCCTTCTTCAACTTGACAGTTTCCCTAACCCAGGTTGTCCACCACCAAGTTCAAGGATGACCACTGTGAGAAGCACCGACAATGTTGCAACCACACCTCAAGATCGCTACTTCAACATTTGATGTGCAGAACATGGCTCACTTGGACTCAATGTCCCCCGCCTCAGCTGGGATGCGGTTAAAATGTATGGCCGTAAACAAGGAGCTCAGTCAGAACAACTTATGTGTCATAATTCCTCATGTCGATAAGGTGCAGACAATTACATATATATATCCATAAATACCTGGGGAAATGTGTGCATAATTGTGGAACAATGGCAATTTTGATGCTGCTGGAAAACATGAATGATAGTAGAACTGGGAGGCGGTATGTTTTTGGGGATCACACAAACCAAATAGCACTTGGATATTTTACAGCCATCCCACCCCAGTCATATGAGACAACCACATCTATATAGCTGCTTTGCTATTGAGAAGAGTGAGTCCACTTGGCTCTCGTCTTATCCGTTCCGGTGACGCTTTTCCACTACAGTGGAGGCTGACTTGTTCACATTCTGTGGGCAAGATCATCAATGCAAAGTGGGCGGGATCATAAAATGGTCATTTTGTGTTTGAGTGACTCGCCTCGTTGTGGTCCTTAATTGTCCTATAATCAGACTTGAATTTTGTTAGCTTATCCCGACACTGCTTATAAGTCCGGGTGTAGCCATGCTACATCCTGCATCATCTCCGATATCTCTCTGTAAATGAGCTCATTTCTTGTGACATCATCCGTCAACACAATCAGAGAGGAAGTGAAGGTTCCGATGTAGTTTTGCTGGGTGGGTCATTCAGTAATGTAGCTCTGCTGGTCAATCAACAGCTGCTGTTTGCTCATGCCAAAATTGTCATCTTGGAGCGGTCTGCTTGGAACCTCAAACAAGGTGGTTCCATAAACTGGGCTGAGTGGGGGTGGGCCCCGGCATTGGGTAGGCCCTTAACTGGTACAGTGTGGTGCGGAACTGATGAGAGTTGAGACAGTGGCAAAGCACCATATGATGGCCAGATATTCCAAATTATCCTACACTGCAGCTGAAAAACTCCACTGATGTGCAGTGACTTGTTTCTTAACATAAACTATTTAACAAATAAGCCTCAGAGTTCTACTAAGCTTGTGAGTGCCTTTGTGTTACCAGTATTCATACAATTGTTTGCTTCAAGCTCAGAAGTGCACTGCTGACAGATCTGCGTCCCGGTTCAATTAATTCAGTGACAACTACAGCTTCACACACACACTCCCTCCTCTTTGTGTGTGGTGAACATATTTTTTTCACTTCGGTATTTATTTAGGAGTGTGTCTGATTCATGTTTCATTAAATTCCTAATTTTCCTGCATCTAGACATCCCTTTTGTTTGTGCCTAGAGGGGGATTTCACATGCAGGACATATCTGCATCTCTTTTCATATTAAAATGGTGGCAGGGGAGGTGTCTGTGTGCACGTTCAGTTCTAGATTTATTTGAATGGAAGGGTAAAGGTGGACAGCAAATGAAAGGTGAACAGAAACGTGTGCACACAGTTTTATAAATCAGAATATTTTTGTGAACACCCCGTTTTCACATTCTGTTCCTACGCCAACTTTCAGCCTGAAAGCTGCACACTCTTTGATGCATGAAGCCCCAGGATGTTTGTAACACGTGTGGGTGCCTTCATGTTCTCACTGGTTTGAACACTGAGTCACCTGGACATCCAGACATCCAACATGTCAAACAATCTTTTACCCGCTTCTTCCTTTTTGATTTGCAGGGGTCACTGGTGTCCATGTCCAGCTATCACTGTGTGAGAGGCGGGGGACATCCTGAACAGGTTGCAAATCCATCACAGGGACACGTAGAGACAAACAAGACAAACAACCATTCACTCTCTCACTCACATCTAGAGACAATTTAGAGTTACCAATCAGTGTAAAGTGCATGTTTTTTGTCTGTGGGAGGAAGCTGGAGTACCCGGAGAAAATCCCTGCATGCACGGAGAGAACATGCAAACTCCACCCAGAAAGGGCCCCAGACCGGGATTCGAACCAGGGTAACCTGCTCGCTGAGAGGCAGCAGCATATATATATATATATATATATATATATATATATATGTATATATAAAATATGAATGGCACTCAGGGGCTTTGTTCTGGAGGAAAAATGAGCTACTTGGTGATCCCTATAAGCTGAGAAAAGGTTGTTTTGTCATTTGATGACTCATTTATACCACTTTGTTGCTACCTTTCAGCATTTACTTTATCTCAGTTTTATCAAAAGCTAAACAAGCTTTATTCATGTACAACAACATATGAACTCATAAAGATAAATTAAAGCCAGGGATCGTGCTGCTTTTTATTCTTCTTTCTGTTCCATTTTCAGGGGTTGCCAAAGCAAGTCCTTCTTATCCTCACTCTGTCCTCACCCTGTCCTCACTCTGTCCACTGTGTCCTCTGTCCTTACTCTGTCCTCCGTGTCCTCTGTCCTCATTCCAAATACCTCCATGTTCTCTCTAACTGCTTCCATATATCTCCTCTTTGGCCTACTCTTTGTCATGTCCAAACCTTCTCAGTCTGGCCTCTCTAACTTTATCTCCCAGTTGTTCAACCTGTGCTGTACCTCTGATGATCTATAAAGTAATTCCTAATCTTATCCATCCTTGTCACTCCTAAGGAGAACCTCAACATCTTAATTTCTGCTACTTCCAGTTCAGTCTTTTTGTCAATGACTCTGTCTCCAGACCATATAACATGGTCTGTCTTGTAAACTTTTCCTTTGACCTTTGCTGACACCCTTTTGTCACAAATCACTCCTGAAACTTTTCTCCATCCACTCCATCCTGCCTGGTCTCTCTTCTTCACCTCTTTATCCCATTTTCCTGGACAATGGACCCCAAGTACTTGAAGTCCTGCACCTTTGTGACCCTGGTCTCCCTCTCATTCACACTCTCTGTCTTGTACAGAGGGGCTGTTTCACAGACTTCCTTCAACAGTCAGCTGTGGTTACCGTAACGAAGCTTTGATAGTGTAAAGTGCAACTTTTTAGCTTTTAGAAATCGTTACAGTTTTTCTGCTTCTAAAAACTTCCACAAAGTCACCAAGTGCTCACCAAATAATGCTGTGAGTCAGTAAATATGTGTCATCTGTGACACACTCAAAATTAAAGAGATGAAAATTTCTGTTGCTGAACGTATGTTTATTCATTAATTTAGCCATCACCAATTATTTATAAGGGTTAAAACTCTCTGCTTTTTATATTGAGCAGTGCTGGGAGGATTGCTTACTTGTCTCTGTGTGTATAGTGGGGGAAATTAAAATGTCTAGAGGTTTTAGCAGAAGTGAATAATTTTTGGTTGCTGCGACCCTCATTCCTGGACAAATATTGGACTTGAAGACACATGTGGGGTTTGTACAGATGTGTTGTGATAAAAGTTTGATGCCGTCAGAACAAACTCATGATGCTCAGTGAATAAAATGAAACAGGGTGCAGCAATGCAATTTTTAAGTATGCTCTCAGAAAAAGTTCAACTTAAAGGCCAGTTGTAAGTTAGTGTTTTACCTTTCAGTGAATATATAATTTACAGAGTTTATGTTGGCAGCATGATGGCGCAGTGGGTGGAGCTGCTGCCTCTCAGCGAGCAGGTTACCCTGGCTCAAATCCCGGTCCAGGGGCCGGGTGGAGTTTGCATGTTCTCTCTGTGCATGCGTGGGTTTTTTCCGGGTTCTCCGGTTTCCTCCCACAGAATAAAAACATGCATGTTAGGCTGATTGGTAACTCTAAATTGTCTCTAGGTGTGAGTGAAAGAGTGAATGGTTGTTTATGTCGTTTGTCTCTATATGTGTCCCTGTGATGGACTGGAGACCTGTCCAGGGTGTCTCCTGCCTCAATCACAGTGATGGCTGGACATGGACACCAGTGACCCCTGCGACCCAAAAAGGAAGAAGCCAGTAAAGATAATGGATGGAGTTTGTTTATTCAGTTTGAGGAATTTAGTAAAATGCACTTCTTCCTATATATGGCCGTACGTTGATTTGAGTAGATCCTTTCAACATTTCTCAGAGGGCACGGCCCCAGACCCCCCTAAGATTGTTTCACATCACTTGTGCATATGAATAGGTGTCCATCAGCAAATGTTGGCAGGTATGCAGATTCCCTCATACACCTCCACAGCTCCTCCCTGTCACGATCTCAATCCAGACACAAAGTTTTTCTGACCCCCTCTGTGCTTCATCAGCATATTCTAAAACCAGGGATCATTCTAAGATGTTTTCCCCCTTGCTGGCTCTAAAGTTTAGGAGATGGCTGCTTGTTCCCAACATGCCTGGTGAATCTGGATCCTGAGCAGCCCTCATCACCCATCAGGTCCAGTTCTGGCAACAAGAGGTGTGTACACAATTTAAATTCAAATCTACATGTGTGTCATGGTAGAAAAGCTCCAGGATGTCCTTTTGGGAGTAAGTAAATTCTTGTTGTGATCCCTGGTTGTGTTTGTGTGACCTGCAGTGCAGCAGAGGGTCGCCAGTTTCCCTCCGAACCCTTGAGAGAGAGTCAGAGCCGGCTGCTCTCCAGCACCCCCTCCTGGTCAGAGGGTGAAGGGGCAGCGGACAAGGACAAGAAGGGCAAGATCACAAATCCCTGCTTTGTTCTCATTTAACACCAGCTCTCACTGTTTTGTATTAAATATTCTATATTTGTGTTTGTTCAGGTGCCAGTAACCCCGTGATGACCGTAGAGAATGAGACGTAACCAGCTGACCGCTTCAAACCAGAACAGAATCCACAACAAATCATTTTGTATAAATGCTTCATCTTCCAGGTGTATGTGGCCCGTCTTCGTGCCTATCGGAACTTGTGATGCAGACATCCCAGCTTTTTCCCCCCATCATGCATCTTGGTGACAGCGTTACACGACCCCATCACAGACAAAATCAGAACCTGTAATGAATCCTCTCGAGAGTTATTATCACTACTGTCATCACACTGTCACTGGATCGTCAAGGAGACTGAAAGTATCATCTGCTCTTATTTGTATGTAAATAAGCACAGAGCTGCCGTGAAACAGGCAGAACCTTAGTTCAGTCTTTTGGTTACATCATTCAAACTGATCCGACGCTTGTTGGTTTGTTTTTATAACACAGTTTGGCATGAGATGTTTTCTAAGTCTTAGTCAATGAGACTATCTGAAGTGAGGTTTTGTTAAAAGTTATGAACAATTTATATTTTAACTGTTGTGGACAGCTCTTTTCTCAGTTTGGAGAAAAAGTTCTTCTTGTCAAGTGACCAAAGGTAAGTTTGAAGGAGGCCAACACCAAAGCAGACCCCAAGTGTATGGATGATGTAGTTCTTCTTCTTCATTTGGCTTTTCCCTTTTCAAGGGTCGCCCCAGCGAGTCATCCTCCTCCTCTTAGATGATTTTGCATTACTGGTTTGGCAAAAGTGTTTTACATCAGTTGCTCTTCCTGACACAACCCTTGCCATTTATCTGGGCTTGGGACCGGTACAACAGTTATACTGGATTGTGCTCCCTAGTGGCTGGTATTTCTTCTCGTTATCACAGCCGCCTAAGGTGTCCTGGTGCCAAGAGCACATATGGACACCCCTATGCTTGAACATGGTGTTTGTTATGGACAATCCATGACGAACACAGAAGTCCAACCACAGAACACCACTCGGCTTCAGATCAGGGGGACCGTTCCTCCCAACCACACCCCTCCAGGTCTCACTGTCATTGCCTACGTGAGCAATGAAGTCCCCCAGCAGAACTAGGGAGTCCCCAGGAGGTGCACTTTCCAGTACCCCCTCCAAGGACTCCAAAAAGGGTGGATTATCTGAACTGCCATTTGGTGCATAAGCACAAACGACAGTCAGAACCCATCCCCCCACACTTAGGCGGATGGAGGCCACCCTCTCATTCACCGGTGTGAACCCCAACACACAGGCACCAAGATGGGGGGCAATAAGTATGCCCACTCCTGCTCGGCGCCTCTCACCAGGGGCAACTCCAGAGTGGAAGAGTGTCCAACTCCTCTCAAGGAAACTGGTTCCAGAGCCCGAGCCATGCGTAGAGGTGAGTCCGACTATTTCTAGCCGGAATCTCTCAACCTCACACACCAGCTCAGGCTCCTTCCCCACCAGTGAGGTGACATTCCACGTCCCAATAGCCAGCTTCTGTAGCCGAGAATCAGACCGCCAGGGTTCCCGCCCTCGGCCACCACCCATCCCACATTGCACCTGACCCCTTTGGCCCCTCCCACAGGTGGTGAGCCCATGGGAAGGGGGACCCACGTCTCCTTTTCGGGCTGTGCCCGGCCGAGCTCCATGGGTAAAAGCCCGGCCACCAGACGCTCGCCCCACCTCCAGGCCTGGCTCCAGAGTGGGGCCCTGGTGACCCACGTCTGGGCGAGGGAACTTCCAAGTCCATTTCTTTTTCTCATCATAAGGGTCTTTGGGCTGCACTTTGTCTGGTCCCTCACCTAGAATATGTAAATTATATTCAATCTTACTTACATTAATACTTATATTGATCCACTTGATCCTCTCTGACCTAAGACTCGATGTGGGTCTCAAAGGGGAACATCAGGTCTGGGCTGGATTGACCTGCAGTGTGAACCAAGGCTCTTCTCTCATTATGATGCTCGATCCAGCAAGTGTTCACTCAGTCTAGATGCACTGAATGCTGGCATGTGATTGGCTGATTATGTTTGTGTTAACGAGCTGTTAAACAGGTGAACCTTATAAAGCAGCTCCGTTGATGCCACCAAGTGTTACAGCTAGCTGCTGCCGAGGCTGCGTGTGCAAATATCTACAGACTTCCATGTAAATAGTCATTTAAACTGCTTTGACATTTGTACAGTTAAAACCGTTTTAAGATCCACTTTGGTCCATCAGTGGGTTAGAAGTAAACTTTTTTATCCAAAGTGATCTGCTGTAGGTAACATATTAACTGTTCATAACGGTTTCAAAGAACCCTACTTCAAACTTCTTTCATTGTGCAGCCACAGACATTCCTAAAGTCTGTGGTTTCAAATATAATTTTCTCCAAACATCATGATGAGTATTGTGAAAGTTCAAGAGATGCATGCTCTTCTCAGCTCTGGTGTCAACTCAAACACACTTTGTAACAATGAAAACAGAAACCAGGTGGTCCACAGTAATTACATTCAATAAGGGCTCTTCTGATAGCATGAGCGATGTTCCGTGTTCTCCTGCTGTGGTGGCCTGGAGTCCACCTGAAGCTGCTGACCAGCAGGTGGTCACACTCCAGCTGCCTGAAAAACACAGCTCTGTGTTCTGGTGCTGCTGACTTTTTAAATCCCACACATTTATGTTGAAGCTGTACTGCACAGCAACAGAATGTACAAACCTTCATGTATATTTTTCTATCTCTGTAAAACGTCATGGATGTGTGAAGCCTTATGAGAATAAAATGAACTCATCCGTCTCATTTCTTCTATGAGAAACATGCCAGAGCCTGGAGCGTAGGAACGGTAGAAAAATTTCAAGCCTTTATTTACAAAAAAAAAAAAAAAAAAATGAGAGAAAAATAATCTAAAAACATTCTTGTCGTAGATTGCATATTCTTACTTTACTCCTTTTACAGTGTGGCGGACGAACTGCAGACAGAAAATGTGTCCGTTTTGTACGCAAACAAAGGGTTAATACACAACCTGCACTTCAACACATCTACGTGAGCTCAGGACCAACATCATTTACTCAAACGTTGAAGAACACGCAGCTCGTAAACGCAGCACGAGTGAACTGGAAAACACAAAACGTGTCGATCTAAAGTGAAACGGAGTGTGGCGACTAGTTCCAAGGAGTAAAACAAACTAAAGTTCTTTAAAAAACTAAATGTATTCAGCGTCAACAGTCTCTGCAGCCTCACACTCCTACATCTCGAACTTCCTGTAGTTTGTGTTGGACTTTATGGAGGGTGTTCACACACAGACACACTCCTCTTATGGAAACTATCTGTATGAAACTATATACATGCTAATAATTTGACATATGAATATTGTGTTGTCAAAAAAAAAATGAAGACAAAAACAAATCAGTAATAAAATATGTTAATTTGTTTCAACATCTGATTCTAGAGAGATTTCCAATGTCCATGTCTCACAGTGAAGTCACAACAACAATCTTTACATGAACAAATGAAGATTCACGTGCAGGCAAGCAGCGAGCTCTTTATCGTCAGGAGTTCAGGACGTCTTCGTGTCAACCTACCTAATAAATTAAAAGTTTACAAGAGAAGACTGCAGCTAATATTAAGGCTGAGCGAGGTGAGACCTGAAAGATATTCACCATGTCGGACTGGAACACACAAAGAGGAGACACACACACACACAGATCAGGAACGTGTTCAGCTTTCCATATAAAATCAACTTTAAAGTGCACATTATGATCGCAGGACACTGGAGGAAAACTAAAAGCCAAGCGTATTAAAGCGGACTGAACCGAGCCGCCCGCCGCCCCGCACGAACACAACACTAAACGTACTCCCATGCAGCTACAGCATGGACGAGCACAGCTGTGATCCACGTGGAGCAGAGCTCTGACAAGCACTTGGCTAAATGATGCACATGAACGTTGCTCCTCGCTGGTCGTATCGTCGCCCGGCTTTGCCTCAGCTCCATGCCGACTCTGTATTTGTGTGTGCGCGCATGCGGCAGGATGACGGAGTGACAGAGCGATGTCATGACAGCTGCTTGTTGGCCTCCTCTTCGTAAGCGTTTCCCGTCCCGTTCTGGACGTAAGCAGAGCCCGAACCGAGCCCGTACAAATGACCGCAGTACTTCGCGTCATCGATGTGATCCTCGAAGAACATCTGAGGGAAACATCAAAAGAAGACACTTATTTGTGCTGTACAGTCAATATTAATACGCTTGACTTGATTTTAATAAGCAAGCAGCTGGTCTGCTGAGTGACATGAAATGATTCAAACTCCTGTAAAACATCTGACGATACACTGAATCTTTGTGAAGTTTACTGAGGTTTAGTTGAATAATCTAGTTGCAACGTGAAATGGAAAATTCAAACTTTCCATTTTTTTAATATTTAGAGAAGTTATTGAGTTATATATTAAGTTACTGAGCAATACAATTAGAAGGATCAACTCCAAAAAGGTATAAAGAATCTTTACTCTTTACAGGAATGAGGAGCCTGCAGCAGATAAAGTCTGCCAAAGATAAGAACATTTTTGGATAACCAATGCAAGGAAGAACATCCATCCATCACTCCACTTATACATCCACCTATCCATTTATTCATCCACCCATCCATTTATTCATCCATCCATCCATCAATCCATTCATCCAGCCATACATGCATATATCTGTCAATCCATCCATCCCTTTATTCATCATCCATCCATCCATCCATCCAGTTTTCCATCAATCTCTCCTCTCCTGGGTATTCCCGAGTTCTCCTCCCACTTAGACTCCTTCTCTTGGGAGGCATCTAGAGGCATCTTATCAGATTTCAGAACCGCCTCAGTTGCCTCCTCACAGTATGGAGGAGCAGTAGCTTTACTCCGAGTCTTTCTTAGATAACTGAACTTATGAGCTCATCTCTAAGGGAGAGTCCAGTTACCCTGTGGACAAAAGTAAATGGTAAATGGGCTGTACTTATATAGCGCCTTTACATATTATCTAGATACTCAAAGTGCTGTCCACTACAATCTGTGTCCTCATGTACCCATTCATACAGCACTCCACTAGATCTATACAAAGACTAATTAGAGCTTTATCACATTCATACACCGATGGGACACACATCGGAGGCCATGAGGGGTTCAGTGTCTTGCCCAGGGACACTTGGCATGTGACTGCTGGTGGAATCCAACCCCCAACTTTTGCACTGGAGGACGATTGCTATAATGACTTAGCCACAGCCGCCCAAAGTGATCTTGACCATTTTGTTCTTTCAGTCACTACCCAGAGTTTGTCGTCATAGGTGGAGGTAGAAACATAGACTGACTGGTACACAGAGTTTTAGATAGCAGCTCAGCTCTCTCTTCACCACAACAGACCAGGTCAGTAATATTGCAGAAGCTGCAGCAATCTATCAATCCAATGCTCCATTCTTCCCTCACTCATGAACAAACACAAAGATACCTAAACTTCTTCATGTAAGGCAGAACATCACTCCCAACCCCGAGAAGACAGTCCACCCTTTTCTAACGGAGGACCACGGCCTCAGATTTGGAGGTGCTGATCCACATCTCAGTTGCTTCACACTTAGCTGCAAATGGTTCCAGTGAGAGCTGGAGATCACAGCAAGATGATGCAACAAAAACACATCATCCTCAAATGGCAGAGACAGAATTTTGAGGTCACCAACACCAAACTCCTTCCACCCCCTGGCTGCACTCACAATATTCTGTCCACAAAAGTTATGAACAGAATTGATGACAATGAGCAGCCATGGTGGAGTCCAACTTACTGCCAGCAGTAAGAATCACTGTTTGTATAATATCATCGTTTGGGACTGAATGGCACAAATCACATACTCACAGTGCACCCTCAAGGTGTACTTTGGAGAAAACAGTCAATACTTTCTCCAAATCCTCAAAAACCCAATTAAAACACTGTCCCATGCCACCTCAAGGACATTAGTAAGGGTAAAGAGCTGTTTCCAGTGTTTCGTGGTCTGGACAGAGCCAACGTTTTTCCTCTTGAATCTGAGGTTCAACCATCCACTATCTTCTCCAGCACCCCTGGATAGACCTTATTGGGAAGGCTTAAAAAGAGTAACTGGAACACACCCTTCAGCACACCACTCCAGTCTGCCAATCATGGGGCACTTTCACCGATGTCCACGCAGTGTGACAAAGGCGTGTCAACCAAGACAGTTCGGTAACATCCAGAGTCTTGCGAAAGTCAGGGTGGATCTAGTTCACCCCTGGAGCCCTGACGCCAAAGAGCTTTTTAACTGTTTTCAACTACTTTGGAGACCTCAGCTTTGGTTATAGACAGACCCACTCCAAGTCCCCTGACTCATCCATACAAGACGTGCTGGTGTTTCTGCAATGAAGAAAAATAGAGGTTGCTTGATAAAAATGTACATTTGATAAAAAAGATATAAAATGAGACAGGATCAGTTTCAGTTAACTGCAGTGAGGTTTGATTGATTCTGTGTTCAATAAAACGTTTTTTGAAACACTGATTTGAAAAGTTAATTGCTCTGTAAATGGTTTTTAAAAACCTTAAGAGAGAATATATAAACATGCTTTATAAAATAGTTCAGTTTATTAAATCAACTGTGGCATTCAGTTCAGACTTGACTCAAGTCTTAAAGCGATCAGAGATTTCTTTCTAAGCAGGGCTCGTACCTCTCTCATTTTGAAGAACGCCATGCCTGTTAGTAAAGAGTCAGAGCCGGCCTGGTGCTGTGGTCCAATCCTCTCCAGATCTAGCTGCTCAGCTACTTCCTGCAACCCGCCCTGAAAGACAAAACCACCAGCAGCACTGAAAGTTCAATGAAAACCTGGGAGACAAACTTATTAGATGTTTTCAAATGCAAAAAGCACCAGAGGAAAGTGTGCGAGCCGGTGCTTGGGGGTCAGAACAAAGTGGTTTTGATACTGTTACTTTTGTTAAAACTAATTGTTGGAGTTGAAATAAAAGTTTTGTTAATTTTGTCTTGAATGAAAAAAACTTCATGTTTAAAAGTATAAAAACTGTATTAAAACTATTAAAGAACAAGTCTTTAGTATTTATTTTACACAAATATTTCCACTGCAATAAAGAGACAAATTGAAGAAAACTATTTAATAAACATGAGGGTTATGAAGGGGTCCCTGAAACTTTTTCTCCCCTGTAAGGGGTCCCTGAACCCAAAAGTTTTGAGAACCCCTGGGCTAAACAGTGCTGTATGGTGAGCAATGTAGAAACAATGTTACAAATGTATTAACTCCTTAATGACGGAGAACATCTGGTGACATAACCAACAAACTCAAACTTTCGCACCTAAAAAAGCAACAACACAAAAATGAACCCACAGTGAAGCCTGAAGTCAGAAGAGCTTTCTATAAGACATTTTGTTTAGTTGATTATTTTATTGTGTGCATTTTTAACGCAAAGTTGCAGCTGTTCTTGCTCCAGGTTGGACTCCACCAGGGCAGCTCCTGGTCTCTCCTCATGTTTCTGGCCTTTATGGACAGGACAAGGCAGAGCCCTGGAGAGGTGGGTGTCTGGTTTGGGTAACTCACGATCTCATCTCTGCTTTATGTGGATAATCTAAAAAAGTTAAATCTGGTCCTCTGGACATTCAAAAAAACTAAACAAAGCAAATCAACAAAAAAATGTAGAAACGTTTCATCTCTCATCCGAGAGACTTCCTCAGTCTGAGGAGCTGTATTCAGCTCAGTCTCTTAAATAGCACCTTCTCAGAGTAGATCAACCAGTTTGCTGCTGACAACCAAAACCAGCTGATCACATGCTCAAGAAGGACCATCAGCCTAACAATGGATCATTAGCACACTGATGGCTGTTTACTGTTCACAGAGGGCTGAGTGATACTAGCAATCACAGCATTGTAAGAGGGGGACAGTTGAACACGGAGGCCTCCACCCCTGTTTAACAATGGACGATTTATTTTCACAAAGATGGCCTCCTTTACTCCTCTCTCAAACCATCGTTCCTCTCTGTCCAGGATGTGAACATCTTCATCCCTGAAAGAGTGACCGCTGGCCTGGAGATGAGTGTAGACCGCAGAGTCCTGGCCTGATGATGTTGATCTTCTGTGCTGGGCCATCCTTTTGGCCAGTGGCTGTTTAGTTTCCCCGATGTAAGACTGATCACAGCCCTCCTGACACTGAACAGCATACACAACATTGTTCTGTTTGTGCCGGGGGACTGGATCTTTGGGATGAACCAGTCTTTGCAGTAATGTATTTTGGGGTTTAAAAGCCACTGGGACGTTATGTTTAGAAAATAAACGT